TTTATGACTTTGTAGATGCTGTCAAGGAGGGATCCTTGCCCTACTTCTGGCAGGTGAATTTTAATTACATCTTGAAAAGCATGATGTGTGTATTGCAGTGAGGGCAAATGCTGTTCTCATGGGTCACTGTTGAAACTCATTCCTTAGATGTGAGCAGTGATGGTTTTCATATTGGTGTTGGGATTTCCATGTAATTAATCCCATTTCTACTATAGAAAGAGGTAAATATGCTTTAGAAGTGTATCCCTCCTAGTAATTGTCCTCTTTTAACCTGATACCCTTTACCGGATTGCTTACAGTTGATTTTTAGATCTGCAAGGCGATTCAGACACTGTCTCAATTTTGTTCTATTTACATTGCTCATGATACATGGCTTTGTTTAGTTACTTTATGATTTTTCTTTTCAGTCCCTTTTTAGACAGGGTCTTGCTATTTAATCTTGACGGGAATGGAACTCAACATGTTGACCAGAACGTCCTCAAAATCAATGGCAGCCCTCCCCTCTCTGTCTTTAATTTTGGGGTTACTAGTGTGCACCACTCTATCATGTGTACTTTAAAACTATAGATTATACCAATATAATCTCTATATATTTATAATATATATATATATATATATATATATATAATCTACAGTCATACCACAAGCACATTTGCCCAACTATGTTCATAGCAATATTATTCATAATAGCCAGATCTTTGAAGCAACTTAGATAACCCTAAACTGAAGAAGAGATAAAGAAAATGTGCTATATTTATACAATGGAGTACTACTCAGCAGTAAGAATCGATGCCATACTCAAACTTGCAGGCAAATGGAAAGAACTGGAAAGAACATCTTGAGTGAGATAACCCATAACCAGAAAGACAAATGTAGTATGTAATCACTCATAAGTGAATACCAGACATGAAGAAAAAGATAGAAAGCCTACAATCCACAGACCCAGGGAAGCTAGAGACCTCTTCCAGAAAGAGATGGAAACAAAGGCAGAAATCCATGATTAACCATTGGGGAAAGCTCCTGGAGTACAGTCAAAGTGAGGGAGGAACAAAAATATGAACAAAGGAGTCAAGACGATGAAGGGGAAACCCACAGAGTCAGTTGACCCAAGCTAGTGAGAGAGCATTAACTTAGGTCTGACAAATGAGGAGCCTGCATTAAGACCAAACTCAGACTCCTTTCATATAGTTGACAATGGTGCGGCTAAGACAAAATATGAGGCCACTGGCCTTGACTCCAAGTTCTAACCCTAATGAACAAACGGACTGGGTGGTGCCCATTCTATATGGAGATAACTTGCTCAGTCTAGACACAGGAGTTTGTAGGGTGGAGAGTATCCTTGGTCCCGCCTCAACAAGATGATGGGACAGACTTATATTTCCAAGGGCAGGCCTTACCGTTTCCAAAGAGCAGATGGAAACTGGGAGAGAGTGGGGAAAAGTATGAGAAGAGGAGAGAGGAGGTACTGGGATTGGAATATTAAAACTAGATTTAATATTTTTTGAAAACTTTGATATAGTATAAGAAACCAATTGTTAAAATATATAAAGGAATATAACCAAATATATCCATCAATGGGTACCCTTAATATAAATTAATTAATTTGCCATTCCTTATGCCTCAATGAACCACTGATACTCTCTTTTCTGCCAGGTTTCCATACATGATATTCGTAATCATTTGTGTTTGTTTGCTTGTAAAATGACCTTGTGACTAAAGAAGATTACAATGTGATTAGCTAGACATACTTCTGGAGAGGTGAAAATATTTGTGTTGCAAAATTTATCTCACTGTTGAAGACTACATCTGGTCATTCCATCATTGTTGCCTCTCACCTTGGAAGGACTGGAAACGTTCAGTAAGTCCAGTAATGGGCAAGGCGCTGAGCTCTGGTTTCATATCCTGGGGCATGCTAATCCGCATTGACTCACTCCTGCAAGAAGAAGAAAATATTGATCTGCTAAAGACATCTTCCCCGTGATTAGTAAAAGCCTCTCTCCAGGTTCTGAC